TTAAAACGTTTTAGCATGGAGAATTCCAAGAAAGGGGAGTTACCTATCCAAAGTAATACCATACTGAGTAAGACTCAGAGTCCGAGTACCAATGTAGAGATAGTGGAAATGAGTAGAGTACCATATGCTTCCACCGTTGTCTCGATCATGTACGCTATGACATGTACTCGCCTTGATGTGGCTTTTGCTTTGAGCATGTTCAGTCGATATCAAGGGAACCCGGGTAAAGCTCACTGGATAGAAGTTAAGACCATTCTTAAGTATCTGCGAAGGACTAAGGACTGGGTCCTTGTTCTTGGTGACAGTGATGACTTGAGAGTTACTGGTTATAGTGACGCCAGTTTTTAGACAGACTGAGACAATTTCCATTCTCAGTCTGGTTGGGTGTTTATACTCAATGGAGGAGCAGTGACTTGGAAAAGATCCAAGCAGGAGACTGTGGCTGATTCAACGTGCGAATCAGAGTACATATCAGCGAGTGAAACGGCGAAGGAGGCTATATGGTTGAAGAACTTCATTTGAGACCTTGGAGTCGTACCAGCCATAAAGGAACCCATGGAGATTTTCTACAATAATGAAAGAGCGGTTGCCTTAACCAAGGAACCAAGGGATCATGGCAGATCCAGACATATCGATAGGAAATACCACTTCATTAGACATCGGTTAGAAGAAGGACTCCTCATCGTCAAAAGGGTATCGTCTGAGGAGAATCCTGCAGATCCCCTCACAAAGGGTCTAAGTAGGATCAAGCACGTTTAGCACGCAAGGAACATTAGTATGAAGGATGATATTAGTTTTAGTGATTAGATAGATATTTAGAAACTTGTAACAATATAAATGTAATTGACATTTATGATTAAGTAATGGAAGATTTATTTATGTTTAAAGTTTACTATCTTTTGTCAATTGTTTATTTTGTGTTTCACTTTTGCATGTTTTACTTCTTGAATAATTGGATTGTTCAAATTATCCACAGTCGATCATACTTTGGAAGTAAGTAGTGAATTAAGACTGTTATGAATTGGCTTGTAGTTTGTCTAAGTGCTTAGACATAGCAAAGGTTTGCTGCAACATTCATGAGTACTTCTGAAATGGGATTTGAGTATTGGATTAAGCCCACGCTCATTTGAATTACTTCATGGAATTTATCGCGAGTAATTGTGAGACAATAATATCGTATAATCTTTAAACCGGGATATATGAGTTGTTGTTTACGAGTTAGTTGTGCATTGATAATGCGTAAACGCATCAGTAACTTGATGTTATATAACGCATTATTGTGTATGATTTGATAAGCAAATAGTACAAGCATATAATTCAAAGTTTATTTGTTCCTTTTATATCAAGGGGTAAAAGTGATATCTTGGGCCCATCGATGATTTTGTGGTGACTTATGTGTCGGGTCTGGTCAAGACTAAATTGATATGTTAAATTAAGTTCGTTGTCAAACAAATCAGAAATCGGGAAACAAACTGTTGGACATTGAGAATGATTTTGTTCCATGTCTTTGTCCACATGATATCTTGTAGAATGGAGGATTATATGATCCCTTATCTAAAGGACGCGTCATTGACTAGGTCAGAGTTCGACAGCGGCTTTTGAGAGCTACGATTGCTAATCAGATTCTGAAATTGTACTTGAAATTATAGTTATTAGACCTATCCAGGTGGGTGACTGTTGGATTAGTTGTCTAAGCACATAGATATAATTGGTATGTACTTGATTTGATGGTAGCATGCTCCTTTTGGGTTGCCTTCACCATAGCAACTTGACAAGATGACTTTTGGAGAAAGAGGTTAATAAATGATTTATTAATATATTATAAGAATAATATATTAATTAAAAATCATATTATTTAATTAGTATTTAATCATAAATTAATTTGGAATTAATTTTGGGATTAAAGGAACCGATTAAAAGAACGGGGACTGGTTTTGCAAATCATTGATAGTTGCAAAGTTGGGCGGATGGACTCCTTATGGATGGAGTGGGTGAAATCTATAGGAAACCCTATAAAATTTTGTCCAAGGCTTCTAGAGTAGGAGGTCCATGGACTGCTTAAGGCCTAAGCCAGGAAATTACAGTTTCCACCTGAAAACCCTAGCAGCCTCAGCGATATAAGGAACCCCTAGCATATGATTTTTGGCCCTATGCTTTTTTGGAGAACCCTAGCCGATTTTGATTGTGCTTTACCTCCTCTCTCCTCTCATCCATTGCTAGTGGTGTTTGTGACTCCATTAGAGGTGCAACACTTGAGGCACTAAGCTTTCAAGAGTCAAGATCAACCAAGGAGTTCTTGTCATTACTACATAGAAAGCAAGGTAATCTTCTAACCCTAGTTTTCATATGATTTCGAAATTGTATGCTAGTATTAGGGTTATTGCTTTGGAATTTCTATTTGCATGTATAACGAGTGAAAAACTTAGATCCAAAGCAATTAGGGTTGCATGATCACACAGGAATGTAGATATGCTCAAAACCCATCATAAAATCCTATGGATTGCTAAGGTCACTTAGGGGAGATTGCTAATGCATGAAAAGTGACCCATAGTCAATACGAGATTATGTCCATTTATGAGATGGCGTATCTTCTGAGATGATAAGGTTTCGGGGATAGATAGATTTTAGAGATTAATTGTTTCTGAAGATTAGTTAAAAGAGATATGTTAGGAGTGAAAGTACTTTTTTGTTGTTTACTGTTTGTTATCTAGTGTCGTACAACCGACAAGATCAACAACAACAGCTATGTCAGGCTGTTGATCTTCAGTCCATGCACACTTTATTTGAAATTGTCTTTACTAACTCCTTGGCTATAAAAAGGAGTGTCAACCTTGTAAACAGTAACGAATTCACTTCAATCAAATCAAGAATTATTCAGTCATTCATTTCTCTCTAACATTATTCTTGTTCTTAATATTTTTCATTGTTCATACTTTACTCTACTTTATTTGAGCCTTTTTTGAGTTATATTCTTCAAGGATTGACTGGTTTGTCTAGACTTGACTGGATCATTTATTATTAACAACCATTGATGTTAGTTAACTCAAGGGTTGAGTTTTTAAACCTTGTCTGCACAAATCCATGTTCCCACAGTGCATACATGGTCTCTATGCACATATTATATTTCGGACTTAACTAGATGGTGAATATGTCTGGAAAAATATAATCAATCATTAGGTACTAGTTGAAGAGGTTTCCGACCTAGGAGTTCCAAGTCTTGGGAAGTTTTGGCAAAGACCTAGGTTATGTTGCTATGCTTAGAAGTTCTGTGTTGGTGAGCATGCTCGAATTAATGGGGGCATAGTGACAGCTCAAACATAATGGTGACTAGGTTTAGAGGACCCGTAGTGGAAAGGCATGGGTATTATCTAGATTTGATGTAGATTTTGGGGACAAAATCCTGATAACTAAGGGAGAGTTATAATGCCCGTTTTTTGGGAGTTCTTGTTCAATGAATTCAAGGAAATTGATAAAGAAGGCTTTTGGGAAAACCCTAGTCCATGACATGTGCAATGGAATATCATGGCGCGTGCCACATTATAAGTAGCAACACGGCCTAATGTGGTTTGCGACGTGAAGTCGCATAGATCCAAACCCTAATATTAGGCATTGACACTTATTTAAGGACACTACCTTCTAGGATAAATCATTTTATTCAGCCTCCATCCTCAGAAGTCCTCAATCTCGAAACCCTAGCCTCATAGCCTCTTTATTAGTGCTTTTGTGCTTTTTGTTGACCCGTTGCGAAGGAAGCAAGAAGTATGGTGCGCCAAAAGCTAGATCTAGACAGTAGAAGCTTCATTCTCATCTCATCGTGCTATGTAAGTAATTAAGATCCAATCTTGTAGTTATTTTTTCCTAGATCTAGTTTTCTAGCATTATTAGTCCCTTTTTGGTCATATTTACATGGAGTTTAGGAACTCCATGTCCTATAGACTGATTAGTGTTATATTCTAGACCCATTATGGTCTTTTTTTGCACGCTTATCTTCCTTTTTAGGCCATGGAAGAAGTTGTTAGCATTCTTTACTTCTATTAGACCTAGGGTGCATTTTGTATAGAGAAATTGAGTTGTAGTAGAGAATGGAAATGCAGAGAAAGAGAATTAAGCTGGAGAAAGAGAATTAACTCCCATATTTGGTAGAACTGAGAATCCACCAGAGAAATGTTTTTGAGAATCATTTCTCTTGTTTGGTTGCATTAAGCAATGAAATGGAAATGAGTTTTTTTACCTTGTTTATTAATTTTCAAAAAACATTCTTTTATAAAAATACAATATGATGTACATCTTAATTAGTCATAATATGCATCTTTTATATTTTAAAATTTTCATTTTAACATTAATTGTTACCAAATAATTTATTTTCTAATCAATTAATATTATTTTATATACATTTTGTATTGTAAAACATATTTCTAATATAAATGAATAACTTACAAATAGATTTTAAATAAATATAAAAATCATACTATTTAAAAACTATGTCCAATATAGGATATGCAAAAAGTAAAATTTAATATCCTAACAACTAAAAAACAAAACTATATCTAATATAGAATGTGCAAAGAGTCAACTTCGATATTTGTAAAAACTAAAAAAGAAAAAAATAACTTAAAATAGCCTAATCATGATATTGAGCCATCCGCAATCATTACCATGTAACAAATCTTTACTTCTTCCATCATCTTAAAAAACGATCGGGTGCGGAATTGATCTTTGTTAAATATGACAATCACCATAATTCACTGTTTGACATTGATATTTGGCATATGTTGTATATCTTCGATAACTTTATCTATCATATCACATGATTCTTTACTTTCTTGCCTTCCTATATTGTACACTTTTTTAGTAAGTTTCTCACCAACCTCCTTGAAAGTCTTTTTCATTGCTTTTGCTGCTTCAATATAAGAGCTTTCAGTGTCATCAGCTGGAGGGATTTTGCGTCTACTATTGACATGAGTAGTTTGCTGTGTCTCTTAAATAATATCTTCCAACCCTTACACATGAATAGGTGAATTTTTTTGTGTCTCTTCAATCACATCTTCTCCAAGATCAGTAGCTCCATTACCAGTAGCTCTATCCTTACCAAAGATTTGACACAAATTATCGAATTGGGGAAATGGTTTATCGCGAAAACATGCAGCGCCTTTATGGCTCTACAAGAATGACACAAAATTAATTGGTTATTATTCATTTAAAATAATTTTTAATGATGCTAAAAATACTACAAACATAACCATTATAGTACCTTTTATGTACTCATCCTAAACTTCAGCATCGGCGGTAACACACCATTTATCAGTATCCCAGCTGAATCCACTCGCGTTTGTTCCATATACCATTTCGTGCACTATGTTGAAATGTTTTTTCCATTTTTCATCCTCGATTTAATATGAGGCTCTGCTTTTAAACCCGAGTTAGGAAGACTTACATCAAGTAATTGTTGCATCGCCTTCAAATGAACCGGGTTTGAATCCGTTGTCGGCACCACGATACTTTTTGGATACATGTAAGTCCAACAATGCTTCAATCAACTTTCCATCCTCTTAAGTAGTCCATGTGTGTTAGTTTTGTGATTCCATGCCAACAAATTTTTTTACATAATAGATGCTTGAAATAGTAATTCAACCATTAAACATAATATTATCATACCAAATAATGAATACAAAATATTATACAACAATCCTAACAGCCCCTATTTAGGGTTGTATAACTCAGCCAAAATTTATCCGAATAAGCTATTTTTTTATCCTTACACGTAAACAAGACAGAGGACTACAATTTAAAAAAATATATATATCGCCTAATTCTGAGCTCGTATGAGGCTTTTATGACGGTTCAAAGTTTGACAAAAGTTATAAAAAATGTAGTAATATTATACAAAAATCATAATAGCCCATGCTTAAGGTTGTATAACTCAACCAAATAAGCTATTTTTTTATACTAAAACATAGACAAGACAGATGACTACAATCTAAAAAAATCTTGTAATTTCGAGCTCGTATGAGTCTTTCATAATGGTTCAAAGTTTGACAAATTATAAAAGTTATGTAATATTATACGACAATCAAAACAGCCTTGTTTAAGGTTGTACAACTCATCCATATCTTAACCAATTAAGATGTTTTTTGATCCTATAGTGTGGCCAAGATAGAGGACTACAATCTGGGGAAAAATCCGCTCATTCCAATGTAGTATGAAGATTTTATTGTTATTCAAAGTAGGGTAAAAATTCAAAAAAAAAGTCTACAATACTAAAACAATTTTCCATTATACATACATGTAAAACATAACCTGTTAACAAATTGCAATCAATGAAAGAAATTTGTTTCTTTCTTTTTTATAGTCAACATTTATCTAGTGAAACACAATTGATTTTAACATAGCAAGAATCGAATTTAACATCAAGAATAGACTTTAACACCAAAAACATTATTCAAACATGTACAAAGAATCGATTCATAGCAAGATTTTAACAAATTTCAGAAACAGATAGCAATATTACCTTGAATTGGAAGATAATTGTTCCAAAATCAAATAAGGAGCTGCAAAGAAGGTGTCAATCGAGCAACACAACAGTCGTGAATGATTTTGACGTATATATCAGCCTATGTAGGGCAAACGAGATTAAGTTTGATCACCATGTGGGCCGATTGCACGAAAATCCAGTACCACATTTGAAAATTTTGGATATCTGAACGTAATGAGGTTCGAAGGCCGGGCAATATCGATTTCTCCGCTTATTTTTATTGTCGATGCTGACATTTCTTTTTTTTCTCCCTTTTTCTCTATTAAAAATAGGGAATAGATTTGATGGAAAAGGAATTTACTTATTTCTCAATTCCTTATTTTATGTACAAACCAAACAAGAGAAAAGGAATTTATTATTTTACCCTACTTTTATTTCCCTGCACCAAACACCCCCTTAGTGTTTAAGATTTGTTGCATGATGCTTCCTTATGTATAAAGTTTGAAACTTGATCCATTAAGACCTTGAATTAAAGGGTTCTAGAAATTTTGAACCCTTATCTTAAGCCACTAAGTGCTTAACAAGGAAAATGGAGTCTACCTCAAAAAGTGTTGTGCAACCAAAGAAGGTTCGTATCGCCAATATTGGACTGATGTCACAACTATTATGTCGCCTAATGACCATGATGCAACCAAGAGCTGGGTTACGGCGTGTTGACAGTTGACCATTGACTTTGACTAGTTGGCTGTTAGCTTTTTGACCGGTTTAGCTTTTGGTCAAACTATGATGGATTTGAGTGTTTGACTGAGGTTTTGGTCTCATATTGGAATTAGGTGATTTTTGCTAGTTGCTTTGTTTTTAGGTTGTTGATTGGATTTTAAAAGAACCTAAATTGATCATTGTGTTGAATATATATGCCCAAAAATCATTATTGAGTGACATTGTTAATAATATATGACCTTATAGGGTCACACCTTTATCAAGTTGGCACATTTTGTATACTTCTTTTTAATATGATTATTAATAAATAATATCAATTCTTGTATTTATTTAGAGAATAATTATTGTTTTGAAAAAATAATGATGATAAGAGTGTATAAGTAGTTATGATTTCATATGGTATTAATTAATAAGTCATGAAAAACCTTTTGGAATAGTTAAATCATTTTGTCTTTTACCTAAAGACAAAGTTTACATTTTATAAACTTCGAGTTTATAAAATTTAAACAATTCTTCTCCTTTTTAAAGGTTTGACCGAATTCATTAAATAAAGAAGAGAGGTTTCTTTTCAACCTTCTTCTTATATCTCACATGCTTCTAAAGGCTACCAATACTTTAGATTATTTTAATGTAAAACCCTTACCTTGCATGGGATATAAAATAAGAGCTTATTGCATGAAATTTGGTTGTTTTTCTACTCTTCTTTATGGTGGCCGAAACAACCTTTCTACTCTTCACTTCTCTCTCTTTTGAAGCAAGTTTGATGAATTAGAAGCCATCTTGAGTTGTCTCCTTTAGTGATTATTTGAGTTAAGTACTTAAAGGCTTAATACACTCAAGAATACAAGAAGGAACTAGCATTCCAAGTTCCTTATCTTGATGGTGGATACTTGTAGTCAAAATCATACAATTTGATTTTTCTAACTTCATAAACACCCCAAAACCAAGTGGATTCAAAGGCTTCAAATGTTGTCATTCTAAAAGACTTTTTGGTTGTTTTAATCTCAGTCTAACCTATTTAAATGGTTCCTATATGGTTTGGTGTTGTTATAAACTCAAAAATAACCTTGTTATTTTTAACGCTTCCGTTGCCGGTTTTTGTGAAAAACTAACTTATATTTTGTATCAAAACTCATATGTGGTATCAGAGCCATCTTTTATATGTTAGAATGTTTTCTTACGTTTGATAATCTTTGGTTTTTGGAAAACAAACATGAATTTCTTTTGGCTAAAAAAATCCATATTTGTCTTTGGCAACTTCTTTGGTTAAAGTTGTTTATATATATATATATATATATATATATATATATATATATATATATATATATATATATAACCATTTTTCATGCATTTTGGTTATATAAAAGTTGCCTTAGAAAAAACAAATAGTTGTTTGTTATAATATTTGATATGTTGTTGTGTATAAACAAGCCATTTGGACATTTGTGTTGTGTTTGATTGATATTTATTTATTCATACGATATAATCGATAAATATGTATTTTTTCATTTGTTGATTTGTTGTAATAAATTAGTTAGACTAGTTGTATTTATTTCTAAATATAACAAGATGAAGAAATGACCACCTAGAATATGACTTAACCACTTGAGACCATAATCCCAACCATGAGCTTGTACTCTTGGTTTTGGGCTTAATTATAGTCTTAATGGTTTAAGTGTTGCAACCTTTACAACATGAAGACTTGAAGTCCTTTTGCAAGAAAGAGTTGACTTGGCAAATGGGAGCTTGAAGACCTTTTGAAGTGTCCCTTAAATCCTTTAGGAAAGACTTAATAATTCTTGTGATGGCTCAAAAAAATTATTACTAGACATGGTTTGGTTTATACACGTTTCAAATGCATGCATATGATGTTTATTTTTATGTTATTGTATGTTATGCTTTGTGTCTGAAAATGAGTTTACATGTCAAACATCACTTTAAAATAAGATATTATCACTTGGAGTTTGTGTAAAAAAATATTTAAAAGATAATATAAGATGTTTATAAATGGATATTTATAAAAATGTTCTTATCGGTTAAAAATCGATTTTTAGTTAAAAATAGTTTTATTGTAAAACTTATAAATATCCAACTTTAAAATATTTAAAATGGTTTAAAATGTGTTTAAACATTATATGAACTCCATGTCTTTATAATATATACGAATTTTTATTAAAAAGACTAAAATCGGTTTATAGCGTTATAACGAAAAATAATAAAACTAGTGATTATTTTTGCTTCGAAACTGAATATATGATATTAATGTTTTAAACATAATGCAACATGTTTATATTATGTTTTATGCATGCCAAGTGAGATTTAGAACATAAGTATTATCATCCAAGTTTTGGTTTATCAAAATATGACTTTTATCATAAGATGCATAAAATTGAGTTTATAAAAATAAAATGAGTTTATTCTACAAATTCATAAAGTCACTTGATTCTGATTGTTAAAAGGAGATTTAAAATAGTGATTTTAGAACTCATCCAAAACTCTACGACTAAACTTTAAAATATCAGATTTTAGTTTATAATTGACTGCGGCTAATGGAAAATAAAATGAAGTTTTATTTGGTACCTAGAGAACCATATAACAAGTGATATGATTTTCAAAAGGGTACGTGAATTGTTGGATGCATGCAATATTCATGAGACGATGGGTTTTATAACTATAATTGTAAAACATATATAAAACCTTTTCTTAAAAATGCAAGTCATTGTCGTTCTTTTGAAGAACACTCGGTATCGTTTGTATGGTCTTAGTAGACGTAGGGTCACTTGGTCGCTATGATTTTCTTATGATGTTTGGGGTACTTTTTTAGTCTTTAGTGACTAGAGGTTCACCTTGTCACTGGTTAGTTGCAATACTACAAGTTGTTTCAAGTAGGATGACTTGATCAGAATCTTGTGTGATAAAGGTCAACTAAGCATGAGAGGTCCGAGGCATAGATGGGATCAAACATGCCAATATCAACAATAGTTATTCATGATCCTATTATCTAGGAGCTGCATATCTTATATGAAATTGGAAATCGCTACCTACCGAGTTTGATCAAGTTAATGAGATAAAGGTCACCTAACCATTTATTTGTTTCGTTACTTGGATCCTAGGCTTTAGTAAATTAATGTTTTAGAAACAATAAAAATGTATTAATTTGTAAAGACTTAATATTGAAAATAATAAATGAAACTTTGTTAAATTCTATTAATAACTGTTAATACTATTACGCCCTGCAAAACCTCTCTCTTTTGTTGAGTTTCAAGAGACAGTAACATTTGATGGTTATAATTTCTATAACCGGTATAATAACTTGAGGT